TGCACCAGATCGTAATATCCTCGGCATATATCGGGTGTGAGTCCCGATATATGCGAAGGATATCGCGCACAGATGTGAGTCCCTTGGGATACTCTTGAGATTCTCCATCAGAATTTTCATTGCCAAATTCAGATGTACGTGTGAAAGCACTGTTCCTTGCGGCGTGCCCCTGGGCCCCAGTGCTAGGGGATCCGATCTTTAGTCCCCCAGCGAGAGAACCGCTTTACGCTTCGAAGGAAAACTTCGTATGTAGTTGTACGTTCTTTCCCCTCAGTTGATTCGACTGAGTCCTTATACTATAGTTCCATGTGTTACATTATTCAATGGCTTTTAAAGCGCAGCTCTTAGGCGCCCGTTTCCGTCTTGAGTGGCGTCGGCGTCGGTGTCGGCGTCGGCGTAACCGTGCGGTGCATTATGAGAAACCTCTCATAATGCACCACCGTAACGCGCGCGTTGCATTATGTGACGCACAACACGGGAGGGAGCAGAAGGGAGGAGGGGAGAAGGAAGGAGGAGGGGAGCCATGAGGAGCGGGAGGATGGCGAGGAGGAAGAAGGAGGAGGAGGAAGGAGGAGAGGAGGAGGAAGGGGGAGGGAGGAGAAGAGGTACGGATTAGGAGGAGGGGCATGCCGTCCCCTCCGTATCCTCTCCTCCTCCTGCTCAACAGCTGCGCTCTAATTCGGCATTACAAGGAGTTGTAAACGTGTCCATTTATTTAGATCACGCGCTAAAAGGCACCTTACTTGCGCTCGCGCTGACTGTGGAGCAAGTCCCTCTACAACATAAACAACACCCCTTGCATCGACATGTGTGGGCGTAATTTGAACTGTGTATGAGCACGTAACGAATTGTCCTCAATATGCGTGGTGAGTCTCGCACTCAAAATTCTTTTAAACGACTTTCCCAAGCATAATGTCTAAGACATTTCTCTAAGGTTCCTCAGATTTGAGTCGTTTTCGTTTTAGGAATAAATCGTACCTCAACATTCTTGTACCTCTCCCGGATGGTACACGCCATCCAATATTTTTCATTGAAGTGGAGCAATCAGCTCCCGCGAAGATCCTTTATTCGAATTGCATAACTGCCTCGCTGTAATCCTGTCCGTCTCCGGCGCTAAATTATTCTTCATCGCCGTCAGTGCCGCCTGCAGTTCACCCAGCGTTATTGGCCTATCGATCATCTCGTTCGGTTCTCCCTGATAGTCTGGTTAATGAACGGGAGGCTCCCGGAACAGGAATGCCCTGGCCAGGCGCTCCGTAAGGCAGCAGTCTTCAACCCCTTTCTTATGCATGAAAGAGGTTATCTTGTTCTGTTTCACCGTTCTTGTCCCTTCCGGATCCACCAGTGCCCGAAGAAGTTTTCAGCTTCGTGCAAAACTAGGCTGCCTCGCAACCCATCACACAGACTGTACTAGTTTTACCCTGAATGTCTCAATGCATACTCCTCCGTTCTCTCATTCAGTTCCGCAATCTTGTTTTGCTGTTTCTTTGTTTGCCTCTTTGCATTTCGTTATAGATCTTCGCGCCACCCACAGGTGCCGCAGATGAGGGTCCACTTTCGAGGTTTCCTGAACTGTGTCCACCACCGTAAAATACGGCTCGAGGATTCGAACTAGCTCCCCTGTTCATTCCTCGATGTTGTGAATGGTCGCAACGTTTTGCTTGCCCCACTTGTCCCACTGTACAAGCTTTGCTTTACCGATCGTCTTTGTGCCGAAGTCCTCGGTCCCCCAGCTCGTGCACAGAATGAAATGGCAGCTTCCGTGGTTTTCCCCTGTGTTCATCTACCTTGAACTTCGGATTCCTCTCATCATCGCCAGGATGGGGCACGTGTCTCGGCAAGTGCTCGTCCCTATCGGTGTTGGCGTCTCAGGGTCCGTAACCCAACCTAGCGATGGTGAGAGGAATCCGAAATCGAAGAAGGGTGAACAGAGGGGAAAACCTCGGAAGCTACCATTACTTTCTGGAGACGAGCTGGGGACCCCTGGTAAAGCACTTCCGCTGTTCTTCTCTTTTAGTAACACCCCTCCGAAGCACTTTGTTTAGTAGTTATGTTTGTTGCGTTGCGTGTTTATCCATTCTTGCATGTTTCTTTTGTATTTTTTATGTCACCATGCCTGGGTGTTCACGTAAATGCCAGTAGTGCATCTAAATATATATATATATATATATATATATATAGATAAACAAAATATAGCGTAGGATGCCGAAGACTATAAAGTAATAAAGTCGCACTTCGAAACGTTGTTGGAGTTTTAAAGCATTTAGTGAGTCGACGTTTCGGCCTGAGACAGGCCTTCTTCAAGACTGGTTGCCAGAGTCGGTTACAGGGTTGTTTTCGCTTTCCCCACCCGTCACCTGTCAGATCACGTGTAAAAATGCCCAAGTAAAAGAGCCCAAGGGAAAAAACGCTGCTGTACTCCCCCCCACTCCACGCACGGCCGCAGCAGACGCCGCCAGCCATCGGAGCAAACCAAAGGCCACGTCAGACTTCGTGACCCCAGGAACGTCACGTGCGGAAGGCGCAGTAACGTTCACATAGTTGGATCGGCCCAGATGGCCAGCAACGCACGCCGCGGAAAGACGCAAAGTCAAAAAAAAAAAAAAAAAAACTTTGCGTCCTTCCGCGGCGTGCGTTGCTGACCATCTGGGCCGATCCAACTATGTGAACGTTACTGCGCCTTCCGCACGTGACGTTCCTGGGGTCACGAAGTCTGACGTGGCCTTTGGTTTGCTCCGATGGCTGGCGGCGTCTGCTGCGGCCGTGCGTGGAGTGGGGGGGAGTACAGCAGCGTTTTTTCCCTTGGGCTCTTTTACTTGGGCATTTTTACACGTGATCTGACAGGTGACGGGTGGGGAAAGCGAAAACAACCCTGTAACCGACTCTGGCAACCAGTCTTGAAGAAGGCCTGTCTCAGGCCGAAACGTCGACTCACTAAATGCTTTAAAACTCCAACAACGTTTCGAAGTGCGACTTTATTACTTTATATATATCTATATATATATATATATATATATATATATATATATATATATATATATATATATATATTTCCACCCACCAAGGATAATGTTTGAATACAGACTAATGAAAACACTCCTGACTCTCATTGGATACCCTGCCATTCTCACCACTGCTCCGCTTCTAACGGCCTGCATAAAATGTTGTTTGTTGAGAGCCGTACTTTCAATTCACTACAACCCACACAAGAGGAGCACATTGACTCTTAGGCCTGTGCACCAATCATGAGATTGTGGGATATGCTCTTCCAAAGAGGTAAGCCATGCACTGACTATACATAGATCAGTTCCTGATGCCTCTTCTACCTCCTTGCCGAACCATCTTAAAAACATCATTAAGATGCCACTCGCCTGCGGCTTATTCTTACTACTCTGACAAGGCAAAATGATGGCCACTGAATGGATGTGTGGTTGTATTACCTAAAAAAATAGCCTTTTTTGTGTTTTTTGTCGACACTGCATCAATAGTGTCAACGTATTTTCGTGGGACTTCAGAGGCGTCACAATGCCTGTGTAACAAAAATTTTCATGATATTATATTCATTGACTTCTTGAACCTGGTCGAACTTATGCCACCACAACTACTTACCCTAACATTTCTTCGCCGCCTACTTTCAGCCAAATCATTGACTGTGCAATATTCTAGCAGTTAAGCGTCATCACAATTGCTCTTCCTCTTGGGCTCGACATCAGCCTAGAGAGCCATCTCCGGGAGATCCAATGTAGCGCCTTAAAGCTAGAGATTGTGCGGTGTCGCACGCACGTCGATATATTACCACGCGCATTGACCAGTGAGCGGGTGCGCGGCCGAGTGGATAACGCGCTTGACTCTCGTGCGTAGGCCCAGGGTATGATTCCTAAGAGCAAAGTGTGTTCTATTTATTCCTTCAATTCAGATATCTGGTGAATTCGAGCGCCCTGTTGCTTGTTTGGATCCAAATTTTCTACACGCCGAACCTTCTATGCCGATTGTTCCAGAAGCCCACGCGTGCTCCGCGTGGCGAGCCGCAGTCAGTCTCGCCCCAGCGTTCCATCCAGCTGTTTCACCGACATCCGACGCCTGTGACGCTAACTTACTTCTATTTTGTTTTAAGCACAAGTTCGCCCCATTAAACGTTTATTTCATTCCGTTATCCTTTGCCTCAGCATTTGTCATTCGTAACATTATGTGAATTGGACACACCACCGTGCAGTGTGAACAGCGTTAGCTAGACGGAGCCACAGGCTTGGACATGACACACGACCTGCTCCACCAAAGGATGCGGCAAAACAGTTTCGCCGAAATGTTTTTTTCTTTTTTTTATAAATTTAACGATTCAATTTTTTTTTTCTTTTCGGTATCTAAGCGTTATCCGGTCTCCATGATACTCCTCCGGTTTACATGAATATTTCTGCTCTTGATCCAATATCGCCCTATCTCCACTGCATGGCAAGTTTTTGCTGCATAAGAATGTTCATGACATTCAATTTTCGTTCTTTCTTGGTTTGCTGTACTGAATAGGTGTCATATATTATTTTTTATAACGCATACAACTGAATCATTACGACAATAATGTTTGCACCACGTTACAAAGCCAGCTTTGGAAATAAGATGCATCTCATTGAAGTGGAAGAACGAACACTGCATGCAAACGTACAATATTATAGCCAAGTACGGTTGCTTCGAAGGGGTCACTAAATAAGAAATAGCTCGTAACCGCATTATCGTTTTTAGACACGGCAGAGTAATAAAATTTGCACTTGCAGGAGTGAGACCTGATTTTAAGGCGATTCTATGAAAACTTAAGCCTCAATATTATTTGGTAGTCGGCAGAGCAGGCTCTCAGTACTAGGTTCTTAGTGCTAACATTCACGCCAAGTCTTCAGAGCACTGGTAGTGGGCTTGGCTAAGGCCTCAAGGACGCAATAAAGCCTTCTGTTTGAAATATAAGCGAAGATTCACAGGGGGATAATTGAATACCTAATGAAGGCACGTGTTACCTGTGCTTTCCTATGGCATCCAGTGCCACTCTTGGTCCGAACGCCGCTCCCGGGTGCACTAGGGTAGACCCGAACATCGCGGCAGCCAAAGCGCCCAATGTGCGTCCAAATCCGTAGATCAAGTCTCCGCTGACGTAGATGGTTTCACGCTGCAATCACATGCCATTTTTTTTTGTTAGAATGAAAGGCAGTGTATTGTAACCTCTAAAATTTCATCTTTTTGTCGCTCCGTCTCTGCTTTTCTGGCTAATTTGAGCAGAGATATTGACGTCATGTGAGCTGACACCAAATATCCTATACACAAAAACAATCTCCTCGCTACATTTTGCGGAGAAATTTACGTCACGTCACACAAACACCAGTTAGTGAAGAAATTCAAAATGTCAACTAAATTTAGCGTGCAAATTGATGTCACGTGAATTGAATTCACGAGTATTATACACGAATTTAGCTCTTGGAGAACCCTTCACTGTCTCCACGTGTCCGTCGCCGACTTCCACATTCTCCGCCGTTGCGAACACGCTTTGACTCCTCCAACGTCTCCGGTGCCATAGGCCGAGGCTCCCGGCCGATATATAGCTTTTGTCCTCTGTAGAGCCTACAAATCCGAGATAAAACATCCTCGTTTCCTGCCGGATTTGTGCCATTCGCTGCGAGACACATTGGTGGCCCGATATAGCCATATCCTTGAACTCGGTATACAGGGTGTCCCAAGTCATTAGGCTCAATCTATAGTAGACCGTAAAAATGAAGGCCTGCAAATAGCAATGTAAACATTTCGTCAAATGTGTTCTTCACAGGTCAGTTTTTTCTTGTAAAATTACAAAGCGTAGCTCTCTTTGTGCATAAAATAGTACCAAGAAACTTGCCAAGGTCAACGGCGGGCGGAAGCGCAGACGACCAAGTCGACCAGCGGCGCGGGTTTGGCGCACGTATTGATAGATAGTGCTACCTCTCTAATGAGACTGCTCGCGACCCCTATGGTTTATTGAAATGAGCATAATCTATTTGTAATGTGCCTTTGTTTAAAAATAAAAACGATCAATAGAAGCAAAACTTCAAGGAAAAACATTGAGAGCCCTTCCATCTCGTGAAGAGGGAAGTCCAACGAAGCTGGCGCCAAATACCATTGACTAACAATACTGGAAACTCGACCCAAAATACATGGGGTTGTCGGGAGACACAGAAGTGCTGCCATCTCTCGGTGTGGGATGGTAAACTATGCGCTCGAAACTAAAAGGAAAATAGACATTCACTACACTATTTCTTCTCGTCACACTATCAGGAATTGTGAATATATGGCAAATCGGTGTGCCGATTTCAATTGAGCAAGAGCTGATACACGGTATTTCTGATAATGAGGTGAGCTTCATATTAGCACTAAGTATTTAGATTATATAGACCTATGTATTACACCTGGTACAAATGACCTACTGAAAATTAGTGACTTTCTAGTAAATTGACAGTTTATGGACCACACTACAGCTGTTACTAGCTGTAGTGACTGGCTCTTTGCAGTTAGAAATAAAGCACAGCAATTTAAATATGTAATTGCTCCATGGGTCATTATTTTAAATTGCATGAGATTCACTTCCAATGAGTCTGGAAATGCTACACGACGTAGTAATTACAGCCAGCAAATGCTACACTGGCTGTTTAACAAAGAGTCAGTATTTATAAGGAAGTAGAAATAGCGTCCGGTTCAGTTTTGCCTGTCATTTTGGGGGCCTGGTTAGCTTCTAATGACTGCAATTACTATTGGATTATATTTCTGAGTTATTTGAACGAGTATAAACTAGGTTGCCTTCCAAGGGCTATTAATGGCTCTGGGCCAATATCCTAAGCTATTTCGGGGCATATAGACCAAGCAGCTGTTTATTAGGTAGTTCCAGTTGTGATAGACTTTAATGACCATTAGCGACCATTTCGTGATATTTGTAATGTAATGCCTCAGATTGGATTTGAATGACTATTATTTGATATTTAATTTTATTTCCTAATTATATAGCGGATTTCGGTTCCAAATTACTTTTAATGACAATCAATGACTATTTGTAACTATTTTGAGTTATTTGATTGCGCGCGGCCTGAGTTGGCTTTCAATGGCTAATTTTGGCTTTTAATCAAAATTTGACATTAAAGATATGTAGTTCAAATGAACTTCTAGTTACTTCTAATGACTTTTGGCCACTATTTCAGTTGTTTGATCGTGTGCAGACTGAGCTGGCTTCATATGGCTATTATTGGCTATGTGATCATGTTTATAAATTATATGGCAGATTTGGGGTCCAAATTACTTCCGTGACTATCAATCACTATCGGTCACTTTTTCAACTTATTTGTTGTGTGCAGGCTGAGTTGGCTTCGTATGGCTACTATTGGCTATATATTCATATTTATAATTATATGGCAAATTTAGGGTCCGAATGACTTCTAGTGATTGTCCATGATTGTCAGTCCCCATTTCGAGTTATTTGATTGTGTGAAGACTGTGTTGGCTTCATATGGCTATTGTTGACTATATGATTATATTTATAAATTATATGGCAGATTCGGAGTTCAAATGACTTATACTGACTATTGATGACTATTGGTCATTATTTTGAGTTATTTAATTGTGTGCGGGCTGAGTTGGCTTCCAATGGCTACTATTGGCTATGCAATAATATTTTTTATTTATATGGCAGATTCGTGGTTCAAATAACTTCTAGAGACTATCAATGGCTATTAGTCACTATTTCGACTTACCTGATTGTGTGCAGACTGAGTTGGCCTAATATGGCTATTATTGGCTATATGATTATGTTTATAAATTATAATGTAGGCTTGGGGTTCAAATGACTTTTAGTGACTATCAATCCCTATCAGTCACTAATTCGACTTATTTGATTTTATGCAGGCTCATTTGTGGCTTCCAATGGCTACTATTGGCTATACAATCATATTTTTTTATTTCTACAGCAGATTCGGGGTCCAAATGACTTCTAGAGACTTTCAATGGCTATTAGTCACTATTTCGACTTACCTGATTGTGTGCAGACTGATTTGGCTTCATATGGCTATTATTGGCTATATTATCATGTTTATAAATTCTATAGCAAATTTGGGGTCCAAATGACTCCTAGTGACTATCAATGATCAGTCACTATTTCGACTTTTTTGATTTTATGCAGGCTGAGTTGGCTTCCAATGGCTATTATTGGCTATAGGCATCTGTTATTGACCTGGTTGGCTCGAATTGCCTAAAAATGGTTATTACTGGCTATTGGTCGCAATATTCTGCTATTCTATACTTATGAATGAAAATGGCTTCAAGTGGCTATTGTTAGCAATTGCATATCATCTTAACAATATCACCTTAAATCGCTTCAGAATGAATATTAGTGACATTTGGCGACATACTATTCATGATGTTTTGAATATGAATGGATTCAAGTGTACTATTATTGGCTATGGGCAGTTCTTGGCCAAATCGGATTGGAATGGCTATACATGTCTATCAGCGACTATTATTGGCAATTTATGCAATTGGAGTGTGTATAGATTTGAATGACTTCAACTGGATACTATTGGCTATAGGCATCTATTCTTGACTTGGTTGGCTTGGATTGGCTATTATTGGCTATAATCATCTGTTCCTGACTTGGGTGGCTTGAATTGGCTACAAATGGCTTAAAGCGGCTAGTATTTATAATTAGCAGCTATTTGACTATAAACTGAAATGGCTTCATGCGGCTAGTTTTGGCTATAACCATATATTTTTTACCGGACTGGCTTCAAATTGCTATGAATGGCTATTCGTGGATATGGTTGACAGTTCTATGCTATTTCAGTGACTATGACTGAAAATGACTTCAAATGGCTATTATTGGCTATTAGCATGTATTTTTGTTAGATTGGCTTAAAATGGCCATACATGGTTGTCAGCAACTATGATTTACAATTTATGCAATTGGAGTCTATATAGATTCGAATGACTTCAGCTGGATATTATTGGCTATATGCATCTATTCTTGACTTGGTTGGCTTGGCTATTATTGGCTATAATCATCTGTTCCTGACTTGGGCGGCTTGAATTGGCTACAAATGGCTTAAAGTGACTAGTATTTATAATTAGCAACTATTTCTTTGTTTACGAACTGAAATGGCTTCATGCGGCTAGTTTTGGCTATTACCGTCTATTTTTTACCAGACTGGCTTCAAATGGCTACAAATGGCTATTCATGAATATAGTTGACAATTCTTTCTATTTCAGTGATTATGATGGAAAATGACTTCAACTGGCTAATATTGGCTTATTAGTATCTATTTTACTGAATTGGCTTGAAATGGCTATCCATGGCTATCAGCAACTATTATTTACAATTTATGCAATTGGAGCCTATATAGATTTGAATGACTTCAAATGGATATTATTGGCTATAGGCATCTATTCTTGACTTGGTTGGCTTGGATTGGCTATTATTGGCTATAATCATTTGTTCCTAACCTGGGCGGCTTGAATTGGCTACAAATGGCTTAAAGTGACTAGTATTTATAATTAGCAACTATTTCTTTGTCTACTAACTGAAATGGCTTCATGCGGCTAGTTTTGGCTATTACCATATATTTTCACCAGAATTGCTTCAAATGGCTATGCATGGCTATTCATGAATATCCATTGAATGGCTATTCATGAATATCCACAATTATACTTGCTATATCTATTGCTTGCCCATTGAAGCCAACCTGGTTAAAAATGAATGGTAATAGACAACAACAGCTACTAAAAGCATGTCCGGTTAGTAAACACTAAAATTGCTCATAACTATCACGACTAGCCACTAATAGCCATTTGTAGCTATTTCAAGCCAATTCGATAAAGAATAAATGCTTACAGTCAGTAATAGCCACTTGTAGCCAGTTTCATCCAAAAACCCTGAAATAGCACATAATTGTCAATTATACTCGCTAATAGCCATTACAAACCATTTGAGGCCAATCTGGCCAGACATAGATGCTAATAGCCAACAATAGCCACTAAAAGCCATTCCAGTTAATAAACATAAAACCTGCTGATAAATATCAACATTAGCAACTACTAGCCATTTGTAGCAATGTTAAGCCAATCTAAATGCTTATAGCCAGTAATAGCCACTTGTAGCCAGTT